TGTCACAACTGTATTAAGAGAATATTGACTTCCTCTGCACTAGTAAGATGATAACAACAAGTATGAAAGGTTTTTATTGGCAATCAGAAGAAATTAGGCTTATGGAAAAGTAAATGATGGGGAATCAGTAGGAAAGCAAAATACTGGAAATATCTGTAAATTAAAAGAAACTGTCTCCTTGCTTCTGCAACCTTGGAATTGTCACATAGTGCTCAGTTCAACTCGGATAAGTGTTGCAAGAGGTATGTATCTAGGAAATACTTAAAGTAACATGATGCACATGAACTGCCTATGACACGTAATGCAACATAGTTCAGTAGCAGAGACTTATTATTATTTCATTGTGGAAGAGTCATATCATCAATGGGTGCAAGGTCTAAGTTTTGACAGTTATGTTTGTGTTGATTATGACAATCTCAGGTTCCCACAGACACCAGTATTCTCTCATTTGCATACTCCAAATGTTAGCTTAGAACCAGAATATTTTTAAAGACATTATGCAGCTTGTACCTTATTAGCTCACATAAGTAAACAATTTGCCAGAGGTAATAATTTTGTGCCACAATTCTATAGGTTCAACACATTTTGAGAAAAGCCTTCATTTCAAATCACACAAAGCCACCTTCCCAGAAGTTGTTTGTGGTTCATCAGGATTTAAGTGCCCTTGATGTTGATGGCACATGAATGTACATTTAGAAGATTAGTAGAGTTATAGTTTTAAGCATAGACATTGAATTGACTTTTAGTGAAGCCAATGGTGGTAATAGGTAAAGATGTATACATTCTCAGTGTCTTGGGGCCCTACTTATTTTTATGGTAACAAAGAGGCTTCCATTCTGAAAAGTGTGTTGTCATGGAATATAGTGTATCTTAATAAGTAGTTTCAGAAAAGTTGATTGGGGCTTAGGTGACAACATGCAGGATATGCAATATGCATTTCACAACTGAAATGTCAGGTTAACTAATGAAGGAACAAGAGTAACATCCAACAGAGGAGGAAAACCATTCCATAATGGTGATCAAGATGTGATGAATTGTTGAGTCTGTGAACTGAATGACTGAACATTAGTGAATTTCAGATACAGTCATGTGTAATATATAAGTCCATTACAGTAGAGTTCTTGTAAAGTCTGTTTGCACATTGCATTGTATTCCGGCCAGAACTGATTAACACATAAGGGAAAGAAGAAAGGCTTGTACAGAAAATGCCATCACTTTCACTATATTTAAACATGAGAAACTAGCCTTACAGAATACTGTATAGCTGCATACAATTTCTACTTGCATTCCAGACATTAGTGTCAGTTTTTCCACAGTAAATTTTAGTTGAGCACCAACAACACCCATGATACTAGCATATATGTTTCAAGGTACTTATCCTCTCACGAGATTAGTTATTCTCGTTCAGTTCCACCCTTTATATGCAAACGTTTTCTTTACGCATGCTACAAGCCTTCAGCTCCCTCGTTGTTGGAATTACAAGATTCCAACATGTCTTTCATGCAAATCATCATGCGTCACCTCCTCACCGATAGAAGCATAATATGCTCACATGATGCATGTGACTCCCTCTACACTCCTCTACTGAACTATCACTTCTAGTTTGGCAGCCACTTTGTCTGAATGTGCTCTTTGTTTGTTAAAAGATTCACATTCTGCTTAAGATTCCTCATGAAGTGGTTTTCTTTAATTTATTTAGTTTTCATAATGACTGTTTCTCCAGTTTAGCACATTTTATCAATTAGTTCTCATCAAATTATTCTTTTTCACTACTCATATTTGGTGAACTCTTATTCACAATGAATTCTGAAGTTCTTATTCCCACTTCAGGGGTCATACCAGCAACTTGCATTATTTCTCAGGCCTCAGGTGCAGGTGACTTGATGGTGGATTTTCTGCATTTTATCTGCTGAGATATTGAACGTTACATGGGCCAACCTTTGTCCTTGAACCTTGCCCCTGTTCCTCCTCAACAGGCAGAACCAGTTCAGACTGACGGGGACTTGAGTTGTCTATTTCCACCTCCTGATTTTACCATACCTTCCTATTCCCCACCCAAACAATATTAGGCCTAACTAGGCCTTTTTGGATTTGTTTCTCAGGTATGTGACATTTTATCCATTTTATGACGTTCTTCTGGACTCTCCACTGCATTGTCACCCTCTTTTCTTTGGGTGGAATATGAGAGTCCTTACCATTTTCCAGTTCCAAGCCACTAGGGTGGTTGACCATGGAGGCACCCTGCTAAATGAGTTCCACATAATAACCATTCAGTTACAGAGTAGGGCGGTGGTGTTTTGCAGGCGTAGATGACATGATATCCTCCTATTTGCGATATTCAATGACAACAGAGTGAGATGTCAGAATGCAGTTTGCCCCTTCAATTGGAAGCCCTCATCTTACCATCACATAAATGTCAGTACCCCGCAGGCAGGTTTGTGATTAAGAGTGAACCAATCAACATAAGTCCTCACACAGGTTTCTGGTTGTCTATCTTCCTCCCACAACTTCCTCAGTCTGTGTTGTGAGTCCTTGGCTATCCTTTGCCCTCTCTTCTTACAGGGATATTATTGCCATTTGGATGGTCCCTGCCTGTTTAACGGTTGGGGGAGTTGATTGCATACAGTAGACATCCTTTTGATACTGGATGTCAAGTTCCCTGATCGATAGGTCATAGCTAATCCTCATGTCATACCTGGGAATCAGAGTGGTTCTCAATCCCCCTGTTCCTGGGTTTGAGGTGAAGGCAGTAAGATCCTCATCCTACCCTTGCGTGGATGTTAATATTCCACAGGCAGGTTTTGGATGTAGTTGACTTACCGAATGTGGTCTGCCTTGCCCTAGCCACTCTACACCTAGGGGCTCATCCTCTGTTTACCCACCTTTCTTATTGTGGGATTTAATTACAGTATATTTCTATTCTATGGTTAGGATCACTTTCCTGCCATATTCTCTCCCCCTCGGATGTGCTCCTCTCATTTTCCACCCTTATATCTTACACATTCCACAGTTTGGTGAAGAGTATACCTGGCTCAGAAGTGGTGTGATTCCCCTCTTCTGATCTTCGGATCTGAATCTCTCATTTCCAGGGGTATCCTTTGGACACTTTTGAGGGTACTTCTATTGTTTCCCCGCACTGGTCCCTCCTCCTTATCAATGTGGGATCTTAGCTAATTTTGTGAGAAGAGGGAAGTACAGTATCAGAAGTTATAATTATTCTATACTGAAAATGTATTTCCGACAGGTACTTCCCTTCTCTCACACTTCCCACCTTCCTCCCCACATTTTTCCAGTGCTGACATCTTCTGCCAAACTTCGAAGTGATAGTTCGATATAGGAGTGTAGAGGAGTCACATGCGTCACATGAACATGTCATGTTCCTGTTGGTGAGGAGGTGACACATGATGATTTGCATGAGAGACATGTTGGAATCTTGTAATTCCAGTAGGGGGAGCGAAAGGCTTGTGGCATGTGTAAAGAAAAAGTTTGACATATAGTAGGGCAG